GGTGATATATCAATCCTGCTTCACTCAGTACTTGCTGCCTGGCTAATGTGGTGAGTATCCTATCCTAACTTTGCTTGAGTTTGATTTTTTTGGGGGGGAGGTACTGGGCATTGTATTCAGGGGTTATCTACCACTGAGCTACATGCTTAACCCTTTGTATTTTTGTAATATTTTTAGAAGATGCAAATGATACCTTTATTTTATTCATTTATTTTTATGTCATGCTGAGGATTGGGCCCAGTGCCTTGCATGTGCTACACAAGCACTCTACCACTGAGGTACAACTCCAGCCCCCTTTGTATTTTTTTTTTTAATTTTGAGTTAGGGTCTTGCTAAATTGCTGAGGGTAGCCTCAAACTTGATCATCCTGCTTTAGCCTCCCAAGTAGCTGGAATTACAAGGGTGTACCACTGTGCCTGGTTCTGAATTTAATAATCTTTAAAATGGAGAAAACATTCATTCCTCATTCATGGATGTGCTGTGAGTATCAATTGAGGTGATTACAAACGACCATGTCATGCAGCCTTGCATTTCCTACTTTAGTCATTTGCATTTTCCTTAATTTTATCTATTTATTTTTAACTTATAAGTGCTCAAGAGAGGAGAGAGAGAGATTGTGATCTTCTGGCAGTGTGTGATAAAGAAAAGATTTTATTTTCTTTCTTATTTATTTATTTATTTTTTGGTACCAAGGATTGAACCCTGGTGTGCTTATCTACTCTGCCACATTCCTAGTCCTTTTTATTGTTTATTTAGAGAAAGGGCCTTGCTAAGTTGCTGAGACTGGCTTTGAACTTGTGACCCTTCTGCCTTAGCCTCCAGACCGGCTAGGATTACAGGCATGCGTCACTGGGTCCAGCAAGATATTTCTTGTGGAAACACTGCATGGACCTGTCTGTGTTTTGATCAGGAAGCCTCTGTTGGCTGCTGTGTGTGCTGGCCCTATGCAGCAAGTGTGCCAGGAGAGTGTCTGTCTCCTCAGCAGATGGACTTTCTCTCTTGACCTAATACACTGTATTCCTAGAACACAGAAAATTATACCAGTTACCAAGAATGCAGTGCCTTCTCTGGCCCAACCCAAGCAGCAGCATTATAAAAGTTGAAGCAGGGGCTGGGGCTGTAGCTCAGTGTCAGAGCACTTGCCTAGCATGTGTAAGTCACTGGATTTGATCCTGCACAGCACATAAAAAATAAATAAATAAAGGCATGCTGTCCATCTACAACTATTAAAAAAAATTGAAAACAAAAAGTTGAAGCAGGAGCACGGCAAGGGCTCATTCATGTTTTTACTGTTGGGTCACTGGCTGCTAGTGGAGAATGGTGCCAGGATGAAAAGGGGGAAGCATGGGGACAGGAGGCTGATGCAATATTCCAGGCTTAAGGTGGTGGTGGTGAGTTCTGAGGTGTTTCAGGAAACGGGAGAGGTGTGCGATATTGTTCTGAGGTGGAGTCAGCAGGGTTTGCTGACAGGTTGGATATGTGGAGTTGAAGGAGATGACAGTGTACAATCATATCTCCTTGACCCTCATAAATACCTGTGAGGTGGACACTGTAGATATACCTGTTCTATAGATGAGGAAGTTGAGGGTCAGACCAATTCATCCCATGTCCAGGACATGCGGGGATACAGGCTTTAGACCTGTGCTCCTCCCTGCCACTCCCACAACTGGTGATCCTTTCTAGCTCCTCACAACACGCACCTCTTCCTATGCTTTTTTCTCTTATCAGTGTTCTTTTTTTTCTCCTTCTTCTCTCTTCCTTGCCTAGGGATAGAACCCAAGGGTCTCATTTGTCCCATTTGGTGGCGTTCAATTATTTGGACAAGTGGCTGAACCCTGATGTCCTGATATCCTGTATGCTACAATGTGCAGAGGCCTGCCCATGCTCAGAATCACCCTGAAGACCAGAACTACCTCTATTGTTTGTCTACAGACTCAAAATTTTGCCTCTTTCTATATGCTGACAAAAAGTTTTTAAAAATCAAGTAACCAGTTTTTACAGACAGAATTTTTAGAACGTGAGTGTGACACCACTTGGACAAAATAAGGAACGTATTCATTGTCTACCTTCAGAAACATCCTCCATATCCTTTCTCATGACAGACTCTCTTGGTTATTAGATTTGTTGCAGTAGAGATGTTAGACAGTTATGAAGCCCTATGGTGCAGAAGGTACCCCAAGTCTGGTAAGATTCATATCAATAGATATGCCAGGTCCTCATTGGTGATTTGTGGCAGATATGTGCTTACTGGGACTCTACTTGTACCAGCCCCCAGAATTTTTTTTCAGTAGGGCCATTCCTGTGCTTGAATCCTGCTTGCTTGTCCTAGTAGCACTATTTTCCATAAGTATAGGGCTCTCTTCCCTAGCCAAAGATATTCAAACTCAAGACTAGCATGTTTAAATAGCATTTATTCTCATCCAAAGTTTCTCTAATTTTTTAAATGCCTCCATCATCATACTTAACTAAAGATAAATCTTTTTAAAAAAATGTTTTTTTAGTTGTAGTTGGTACAATATCTTTATTTATTTATTTTTATGTGGTGCTGAGGATCAAACCCAGTACCTCACATATGCAAGGCAAATGCTCTACCACTGAGCTACAGTCCCAGCCTCAAGATAAATCTTTTTAAAGGTCAGAAAGCATCAGCTAGTCAGCAAATAGCTGTCTTGAAAAAGTTCATTTTTTCTGTGGTTTGGAGTTCACATATGCAGGATGAGGTATTAACACAGGAATATTTTTATGAATCATGGGGATTGGCCTGCAGTTCCATGTTTCTATCACTTTGTGTTCCAAATAAGCTTCTCAAGCTTATAAGAGTTTTCTATATTGACATCTCCTCCCCACACCCTACAAACTCACTACAAACCTTTTGTCTGCATTGATTGTAGCTGGGCAATATCCTCCTCATATTTATTTCTTTAACAGACTCTTTTACCTTCACTACAACAGAGGGAAAGATCCTATGCACTGTAAGCATCCTTGGATGTGATCAGCCCTGAGCAAGTTACACTTGGGTCTCCAATGTAAACTGAGCATCAAGAATGTGGTGTATTTGTACTTCCTAAAGGACTCAAGAGGTTTTTCTTTTAAGGGTGTGTCTTGCCACATGATCCCACAGGGGTGCTTATAGGAGCTTGGCTTTGCTTTCAGGGTCCTTGTAAGAACTCTGTATGCAACCTCCTAGTGGGTCAGGTCAGTTTAATTCCTAGCCTTAGGCAGGTTGTGAATTATGGAGAGCAAGGCTAAAATTCTCTAGATGTTCACACAAGGGGTCCTGTGGTCAGTGTGAAATCTCCCCTCCTCCCCTCTAGCTCTGAGTCATCTTGGAATCCAGCGTAGTCCCTTCTGCAGGGTTACAGCTCAGATCCAGGTGGCTTATTCAGCTAAGTGGCAAACTTGTCCCCCATTCCTTGCACATCCCCTGTTGGCCCATTTCCTCCCCACACAATATTTTTGGCTCCGCCCCATCATTTAGAGAGCCAATAGTAATCCTGGAAAGGGTAGCGTGTGTGCGTCAACCGTTAAACATAGGAATGCCTCAGAACCCCTGTAGCTCGTAAGAAGCTCATAAGCTGGGCTAGCTCCGCCCTGTGGCCTCAAATTTGTTGCCACACCCCACCACATTTGTAGAGGCCACAGAGCCTCTGGTGCTTTCCAGCCATGGCTAGCTGGTATCACTACTATGATACTGACTACTATGTTCTGGAAGAATATGAGAGGGAAATAAACCCTGAATCTGAGCAAAGTGCAGCAGCGGCAGCAGAAGGTGGCCACAGTGAAGGAGCTGTAGGCCTCATGGACGACGTGAAGCCTGAGGGCCACCTGAATCAACTGGATGTCATGAACCAAGAGGGTGAAGTGAACCAGGAAGGAGATGTGAACCAGGAAAACAACAGTGACCATGAAGATGATGACGATGACCAGGATCCCCAGCAGGAGGACCTTGAGGAGTCAGTGGCTCCTCCATCCCGTCCCAGCAGGCGGCCACGAATCCCGTTTCAGTTCACGCCATGGCAGTTGGATGAACTGGAAAGTGTTTTTGAGGAAACTCAGTACCCTGATCTGCTCACAAGGTAATTGACTGGCTCCGGGAGGAACCTAGTCTTCCAAAGAGTACTTTTCCAGGGGGATTTTCCTCTCTCCTGTGCCCTTCAGGTCCCTGTCCTCAGTAACCCCCCCCCCCCCCCCC